CCCAATGGTACCAGAGTGTGCGTCGGTGAGTGAGCCTCACACCCATTACACTTTAATTACCGGCGACTGTTAGGTATTTGTCGTGTGTCGGCCAAAACATCTTATAAAATTCTCTCATAGTTCCAGAAGCTTACGTTTAACGTATAAAGGTCAAACGTTGATTTGCCAGTTAGGGTAAAGAAGAACATGGCTGTCATCGCTCCGATCACGCGAATAAAAGAAAAAAAAAAAGGAGTCACTAATAAGCGTCCGCGATTCAGCGCCGGCTTTTGATCCGTGGATTGATCAGCCGTGAATCAAGCTCTAAGCAATGCGTCCTACTTCGAGTGTATTTGCGGGTGAGTTTGGTTTGCTTTTGACTCCGTTTTAGATTGGCATCGTCGGAGGAACGTTGATACAACGAAAATTACTACGCCACCCATAATGGAAGCAAACTTACATATTTATTTCGGAAATCATTCAGCTGATCATTCGGTATTCCTAACTTGAGTGCAATCAATGAACTGTGTCGTTATGGAGATTTAAAGGCAAAAACAAATGTTCTTACCCTTGATTTATTAATCAGCTTTCATTTAAAATAAAAACAAACAGCAAAACAGAAAATGGAGGAAAATGTCCGAACACTGTGTAAAGTTCCATGCCAACTACGGTAAAAAGTTTGGTGGGAACATCTCTTTGCCATTAACACCGCATAGTTTTTTTCAAATAGTAATTCTATTTGAAAACTGTATTGTAATTACGTCTTACAAGTATATATGTCTACATTTTAGCTAAAATTCGATTATTACGAATAAATAAAAATACACGATAAGTATTTCACTGATGCGGGCATACTCTGCATGATTATTCTGTTTTGTGCGATTCTGATATGATACTCAAATTGACACTTAGTCATTTGCAAGGTAATTGCATTCTTATTCATTTCAAAATTTATGCATAATTTGAGCTAGTGGAGAAAATATAAAATTAGCAATTATAGAACAACTCTGCCGGCCATTAGCATTTCTCAAGAATTATACTAGTACATAACAGCGGAAAAACTTTCTCGTCACCTAAAAAAATTCACATATACTGACTGCAACAAAGCCGCCATGCTACACAGGCTACGCGAATTCAAAAGATGCGAGGAGAGTAAGAGAGCCTTCGTTTGCATCGCGTTTGGCCAATAAGTCTTCGTGCCGCGAGCCAAATTTTAAATAAGACTTCTTCGAAAGTCTAAAATATTTACTTGAGAGTGTAACATGATGTAAACAACAAATCGCCGTCGGCGGTACGGTTAGCCTGTGTACAGACGTCCCCCTCCCTCAGAAGGGAGGGGGGACGACTGTACACAGGCTACGGTACGGTCCGAAAGGAAATCTTGACAGTTCTATTTTCTTTACAGTCAAACCAGGTCAAGCGTACCCCCCAAGAATACATTAATGAATTTATTATTCAAAAGTTGAATCCGTTGCTAGTTGTAGATTTCAGATTGATCTCTGCATTCTTGCATGTGTAATGAGCCGTGAATTCACACGCGAGGCAGTTATGAAATTTCTACCAGCTCCATTTTCCTGAAACTGATGTAAATGTCTTCTAAGAAGCTTAATCCACTCAAAGATTTCCAATCTGACCAAATACAGAGAAGTTCTCGTAAAATATTCACTGCTCATTACGTATGCAGAAATGCCGCTTTGAATTTGACACCAGTTACGGGAACGACTAACGGATTCATTTTTCAAATAATCAATTCATTAATAGAATCTTGGGGGGTACGCTTGACTTGGTTTGACTGTAAAAAGAAAAACAGATGACGCTGGTGCCTCAGTGGCCGCTGACCACTTAGTCTGCGTAGCAGGCGCTTAGAAGTATTAAATTGAAAAAAATGGGCGCAGGCTAGTGGCCACTGAATGGACGGAGGTTCAACTCTATCAACTCTTTTAAATATCCTATCGCGGATATAAAGGCTCGGTCCAAAAACAAGAACGCCCGCGTTTGAATCAATGAATGATTTTCCAGTAATGTGAGACTTAGTTATGCGCACAGAATTATGGGATCGCCAGGGGGCAAACATTGCAAGTCGCTACAAAGAAATGTATGGCTTGGAGCTGTTTCTCCGTTAAAAGCAGTGTCTTTAGACAGAGAATGCCGTATTTTGCCGTGATTTTATGAGAAGCGGGGGTGAATAATGTTGGTGCTTTGAAATTGTAAGTTTTTGTGGGATCAATGCTATGAAATCTATCGATAAACACTCCTTGCGTAAGGTCGACTGTGAAATTTACTGAATGGTCTCGAAATATATAGTACTAACTTAGGTATAAATGAGTGGGGAAAGCGGACTCATTTAAGCCTTTCCAGTTCATGTACTTACATGTGCTCATATTTAAAACGAGTGTAATTAAGCTCCGCTCGGCGATCACAATGCTGTGCCAGTTTGTGAAAACGATCGAAGGTAAGCTTATGTGTTGTCGAATTTGATATGTATTAACTTTAAAAACAAAAATATCTTCCCCACATTAGTATATTGATTTCTTCTCGCAAAAAAAAACACACACACACACAAGCGAGTGCCTTGTCATGATCCAGAGCACCAATGAGTTCTAATGCCTTTTCCAATCATTTTTAGGGAAGATATAGAATGTCTGAATTTCGCACATCAACTTGGTATTTTATATTTACACACTCTGACTGCTTTTGTATCGGAAATCTTACTCGTTCGTACGATTTCTGCCTCATCTACTAATGGTTAAATACCATGTCGTTTCCATGAAATATTTCGTAAATGTCACTTTGTTTATACCAAAGTAAAGGAGGATTTTTTATCTTGATGGCCACATACATACCTATAATTGTTGTCTTGTCACAAACGGCCGTCGATAAAACCCGTAACATGGAACATTCCGGAACATTCCGGAACATCCCGGAACATGAAAAAATTAAAATATTTTTTTATGAAAAAATAATTAATTAATTAAATAATAATATTAATAATAATAATAATAATAAATAATAATAAATAGAACAACAGATAGAAAACAATTTTTGCAAAAATTTATAATAACAAAATAAATAACATAACATAACATAAAAACGAAAAATAAAGAAACAAACAAAGAAAGAAAGAAAAAGAAACTGGTATCATCTCCGAGTATGAGAAAACAATATTTTGTGGCAATGAATTTTTTGGGCGAGTGATGGTCCATTCAAATGACAGTAATAAGTGAAGGTTTGCTTCTAAATTCAAAATATATTAAAATGAGTCGCGAGGAGAGGGTTTTTAAGCTTTCGTCACACAGCCACCTCTTGTTATCCATTTACGGCTTTGCGACTGTAATGAGAGCTTAGGAGATCGTCGCTTTGGACTTGGATAATTAAATTAAAGATTCACATTCGCCGTGATTAGTTGCAGTGGCAGTGGTAGCGCAGCGGTAGTTTCTAACTGTTATCAGTTAGCCTGAATTTTAGCTGTCTCCCGCAAACTCCTCTTGCTACTCGAGGAGACGTCTAAAATATCAAACTGACTGTAAATAGTATAGAAACTACTACGAATGTGAGTATTGTCCATTAAAATCCAAAGACAGGAGCCCTTATACTCTTCTTAAGTTCACAGAGCCGCCTAGTCTGTAAGTAATTCATGTCAACCTCAAGTGAAACAAAGCACCTCAAGTAAGCAAATGTCGGTTATATATAAGGAGACTATATGTTGGCTTGAAATGAGCTACTTACCGACTTGGCTGGACATGAAATACTGCACCGACATTTTAGACCATTGCAGAAACGTAAATTGATAACCGCCAAATGATTAACTCATGGCAAACAATTACAAGAGGTAGCTGTGTGAGGAACGCTTAAAAAACCCCCCTCCTCGCGACCCATTTTAATATATTTTGAATTTAGAAGCAAGCCTTCACTCATTACTGTCATTTGCATGAACCCTTTCTTGCCCAACAAATTTTAACCGGTTGCGACAAAATATTGTTTTCTCATACTCAGAGAGGATACTTGTTTCTTTTTCTTGATTATTTCATTATTTTTCGTTATTTTTTGTTATTTTACGTTATTATTAATTTTTACCAAAAATATCTTATTATTGTTATTTCATTATATATTTTTTTCATGAAAATTATTTTTATTTTTTCATTTTCCGGGATGTTCCGGCATGTTCCGGAATGTTCCATGTTCCGGATTTTATCGACGCCCGTCACAAACCGCACATCGCCGCACAGCGCTCATCGCGGCCAAGCTTTGTTACACTCGTCGTAAATATCACCACACGTAATTATAACTTAAACGCTTAAATGAGCCAATCCTCCTACATGTATTTGTACTATATATTTCAATTCAATTTGTACTATATATTTCGAGACCTTTTCTTCATGTAGATCACTGTA